AAGAAGATTAATCAGAACTGGCTTTGACAAGCACTGTGGCATTTGGACAAGAACAAACTGGGAGGAGGGTAGAGAGAATAGTGCAACAAGGAATGAATGGAAACCCAAAATCTCTGTAAATGTTTATGAAAATTAATAAAATATAGAAAAACAAATAAATGAACTGTTGTTGTGTACCATTGACTCAGCACCAACCCATAGCTGACCCTCCGGTAGGTTTTCTGAGGCCCTTAATTACAGGGGAAGAAACTGCCCATCTTTGTCCTGCAGAGTAGCTGGTGAATTAATAGGCAATATCATAATAAAGGAGAAAAGATTGAAATTGTTAATAAAGTCTTTTACTTAAATCCAATAAAATCACATAGAAGCAGCAGTCAAGAAATAAAGAACTTATTGTATTGCCACACAAATCAGCACCCAAGAACCTCTTTAAAATGCTTACAAGCAAGGGTATCATTTTAAAAACTAATGTGTTTCTGGCACAAGCCATGGTGTTTTTAATAGCTTCATGCGGACATGGAAGTTGAACATTAAAAAGGACTACTGATGAAGAATGGATGTATTTGCATTGACATTTTGGTGAAGAATACTAAGTGTACCAAAAAAGAAATCATCTCTCTATGAAAAAGTGTAGCTAATGTGCTTCATGGAAATGAAGGTGGTGAGACTTCATTTCACATACTTTGCACATGTTACTAAGTTACCAGTCCCTGAACAAGAGCACCATGCTTTAAAAAGCGAAGGGTGAAAAAAAAAAAGCGGAGGGTGAATAAAGGAGAGGAAAACCTTCAATGAGATGGATTAATACAAGTGATGTATTAATACAAGCAGCAACTGGCTTGAGCAGAGCAAAGATTGTGAGGATGGCGCAGAATGTAGCACAGGATTTTATTCTGTGATACGTATGGTCATAGGGTCGGGTCGCTGAGAGTTGGAGCTAAGTCTACAGCATGCAATAGCAGCAATATATGTATTGACAATTAATAAAATTTGCAGATTGGATGTGAGGTCTAGGAAGACACCTTGGAAAGAGGATGTTCTTTGAAAATACAACTGATAATATATTAAAAACAAATAAAAAACAGTACCTGTCTCCTTAGGTCTCTTGTTTTCTTGGTCATCTTATCAATTGCGATATTTAAAGGATCTCCTTTTTCTTTCCTTCCAGTCTGTTAAGAAAATAGAAACAATTTAGCATTTAGAAAATTAAGCTACAAACACATTAAGTGTTTTAAAACAATTCAGGAATATGTTCTCATGTAGAGTATAACCATTAAAAAAAGGATTGTTTTCTATACACAGTAAGCATGACTTAAAATTAATGTCGCTTTCCTCCCAAACAAAAATTAGATTGATGAAAATCAACACACTTGGCAAAGTTACAAACATATCATGCTCAACTGCATGCAGATCTACATTTTCTTCTCTCTCCAGACATTTGGCTATTAAGAATGCTTTGGTTTGGCCTTCAAATATAATTATTTCATCCCTCTTTATTATGCAAGCAAAATGATACTAAACAGATGATTGACATGAATAAAAATTAAATAGGAAAAAAATTAAGGCACGTCACTCATAAACTCAACACTTATTGTTGTAGAGTTGGAATGACTCATAGCTGGACCTCCAGTGAGATTTTTTCAGAGATCTGTGAATTAAACTGAAGGAGATTGCCCATCTTTCTCTCAAGTAGCCACCAGTAGGTTTAAATCACCATAGAACATCACCTTTAGGTTAGCAGCGCAAGTTTCTACCCATCAGGCCACCAGAGCTCAAGTTACTAGAATTTATAATTTTATAACAGTCAGCAAAAATAAATGGGAAATCCTTCAAGGAGATGAGAGAAGCATGTTTAGATCTGTCGTTCATAGGGTCGTGAGTGGTGGTCAATGCAATGGGACCTAACAGTAATGACATAACCACACTTTGTATTATAATTTCAGTACTAAAGATGCTTTCCTGGAAAACACAGGGTTGTTAATCTCTGTTCTCTCATGCAATAGAATGCTGAACATAATAGGTAGCAACCCTTCATTTGAGTGCATGAAGAAATTCCCCTTATAGATAGAAAAAAACACAGAGAACCTTAATAAATGTATTACTGTTGTTGTTGTTGTTGGTCACCATTGTGTCAAAACCAACTCATAGCTGACCTTCCAGCAGATTTCCAAAGACAGAGAATTTCACAGGAAGAGATTGCCCATCTTTCTCCCACAGAGCAAAAATGTATTAAAAATTAGAAAATTGTTTAGAAATTTCACAAAAGAATTATTTTTCTCCCCTCTAATTTTGTGGTTGCAAAAATAAATAGGTATATAAACAAAATACAATATACTTTGCTTTTTTAAAATCAACAAGATTTCCATAAATCAATTGCAATCAGTATCACAAAAACCATAAGGCATATGAATTGTTAAATGGAAAGCCAACTTTCTCTATAAACTTTCACCCAAAGGCTGTTGATCTTTATAGAAGCAAATTGCTTCATTTTACTCTTGATGACCATATGGTAAGTTCAAACTGCCAAACTTTAAGTGAGGAGCCCAATGTTTTTACTTATAGGAGACCAGGGTTCCTTTTGCACTAAAGTAAGGCTACCTACAAGCTGCATGAAATTGTTTCGCCTTACCTATAAATTCTTAATTCTTGAGAAAGATGGCATAAATTAGGTATATTGCATTGAAACAGATGAGGGAGAGAACTGTTTAAAAGGGATATATGATTAGGTATTATTGTCATGACAAGAGTCCAGAACCAAGGCTGCATAGTGTACTTGGAGGGGAGGGATTGCATAGCAATGAAAGAATTTTTCTTTTACTTTTCAAAGAGAAGAGTGAACTGGGGGTTGGAGAGGTTGAGCAGGGAGAAAAATGCAACAATAAATGAATGGAAATCCAAAGTCTCTGTAAACTTTCATTAAAATTAATTAAAAAAATGAATTCTCAATTCATTCTTTTTTTCCCCCTGGATTCACGGTTTTATTTTTTAAATAAAAATTTTATTTTATACTGGTTTACTTACGAAGTTTATATACAGATCTTAATTCTTAAAGAGTGAATCCAGTTAGTAATCCAGGAATTTCCTGCATTTACAAACCACAGGATGGATAAATCTCAGACATATAAGAAGCCAGATACAAAAGACTACCTATTGGCATCTGTGCCATTCAAGAACTGATAAAGTAAATTGTTTTCAAGTTAAAATAGAGATGAGCATTGGAGTAGGAGTGGAAAGGGACTGAATAAGAAGGGAACAAGGGAGCCTCACCAGGTGACAGAAATATTGTATCCTTTGCATCTGAACTGTGCTTTCATTTGTGAAAATTAATGTAAAAGATAGTTGAGTTTTATAGTACACATAAATTACACTGTAATTACACAAAAATAAATTAATATATTAATTAATCATATAATCATAGCTAAAGGTTTAAAAAAGTTCTCTAGATTGGAAAAAAAATTGTACATATTTATGGATGGTATAGTATCTCTGTTTTAAGAGTAAAGCTCCCCCCCAAAAAAAGACTTTGCAGATTCTTTTAAAATATCTAAACTTTAAACAAATGAACCACCAATTTATTTTATTTTTTTAATGATCCTGTTCCTAGTATGCTCTGGCAAACCTTTTAAGGTGAAAGATCTAGAATTCTAATCCACCAGCCCCAACCAGGTAGAAAGTTGTGTGAAATCAATTTTTGTGAGTTTTGATTTTAGATAAAGGTCTATTAATACTCCACACCCCTAAATATATTTTTTTAAAAAACCAAAAATACACTGTTACGGAGTTTATCACAACTCATAATGACCCTTGGCTAATTTGTCAGGCTATAAATCTTCATAGAAAGAAATTGACCATCTTTTATAGGCAGAGCAGCTGGCAGGTTTGCCCTGAAATCACCAACGTTTCAATTAGCAGCGCAGCATATAATACACTATGTTATCATGGCTTCATAAGAAGTATATAGTCGTATGTTATTGGATTTTTGTTCTAGTGAGTTTTTTCCTGATTTCTGAATTGCAGATCTTAAAAGAAGCAGACTTTCTCATCTTTTTCCCATGGAGCAGTTGGTGGATTCAAATGGCCAACTCTTTGGTTAGCAGTTCAGTATGAAACACACTATGTCACCATGGCTCCTTTTCTACATCCAGTCTTTGCAAAACCTTGAAGATCTTTACAACAACTGGTGTATATGAAAAAATGAGATGACAGATCATCATTCAAGCCTTATGGAATATCATAACTTAGAGACCCATGAGTCTTGGCAATGAAATTTAAGGGAGTTCAAAAACAAGGTAAGTAATGTTAGAAGGCAATATTTAAAAATTTATGCAAAAAAATCCCTGATTAAAAAATTATACGAATTTTAAACAGAAGATTTTGCAATACCAGGATCCCCTTCAAGCTCACTCATTAACATTAAAGAAGAAGAGATTCAGTTGACTGTCCAACAGGTTTTCAGTTTTCAATGGGTTTTAGAAATCACATCGGAAGATATTGCCCATCTCTGTCCCACAGAATAAACAATGAATTTGCAGCACCATAGGCACTGTCTTTGGGCTAACAGCATCATTCTCTACAGATTATACCACCAAAACTCCCTATGCCTATGTTAATATGAAGACCAGAGAACGAGTACTTTCAAATTTTAAAAACACGATGAGACGCCCTCTCACGTCAGTAGCAGAGGCAAAGTTTAAGAGGACAGCAAGCAATCTGGAAGGCAGTTTGGCGCTTCCTCAAAAAGCTGAACATAAAAATTCCATATGACCCAGCTATTTCACTACTTGGAATATACCCTGAGAATATGAGAACTGAGGCACAAACTGAGATTTGTACACCAATGTTCATAGCATTATTCACCATCACAAGAACATGGAAACAGCCCAAATGTCCAACCATAAACAAATGGATTGAGAAATCAGGGTACATTCACACAATGGAACACTATGCAGCACACAGGAACAATAACTTTGTAAATTATTATTTAACTTAGGAGTGACTGGAGAGCATTATGCTGAGTGAACTAACTCAGTCCCACATGGATAAATATTGTATAAAACCATTATCGTAGAATAAGTACAAGGATCCAGGAGGGGTGGGAGGGGCTGGAAGCAGAGGGATGTGGATGTACAGGAGAAAAAGGAGATTAATCATTGTATTCTACAATTTAATGGGTGGGGGTGTGTAAGGGAAATTGAAATAATTTGTATTAGAATTTTGTAAATAAACTAGTTAAAAAATAAAAGTATTGAAAGAAAAGGGAAAAAATGCTGGAGAGGATGGAGAAGCGTTTGGAACTTTCATACATTATTGGTGGGATTGTAAAATGTTACAACCTTTCTGGAAGGCAGTTTGGCATTTCCTTTAAAAAGCTCAACATAGAAATTCCATTCAAATTCCATTCACTCCATTCATAGATTATCATTGCTAGGAAGATAACCCAAGGAAATTAGTACTGAGACAAAAATGGTGATCTGTACACTAATCTTCATAGAAGTATTACTCACCACTACCAGAAAATGGAAACACCTCAAACATCCAACCCCAATCAAATGTATTGAGAAACTGTGATACATTCACATGATAGAATACTACACATAACTCAGGAGCAACAATTTCAGAATAACTACATAACTTGGGAGGGACTGGGGAATATTAAGTTGAGTGAAATAACTCAGTCTCATAAGTACAAATACTGTATAAGACCATTATTGTAGAATGAAAAGGATAAGTAGTAAAAAATGAATGAAGAACCAAGGGGGGGAGGGTAGGAGCAGAGGAGTGAGGAACTACAAAGGAGAAATCATAAGGTTGCACAATTTGATGAGTAGAGGGGGTTGGGGATAAAGGAAATGGGAAAGATCTGGTGGGAATCTTGAAAGAGTAATGGTGGGCATAGTTCAATGTTGATTAATTTTATAAAACATAATGATTATATGAAACATGATGTGAATGAAGGACATTGTGAAACATAACATATAAGAATTTTGTATATAAAATTCAAAAAATATAAATTGGGATATATTTATGATATAAACTGCTTATCTGAAATTCAGGTTTAATGGACATCCTGCATTTTTTTAATAAACATGCGGAATTTTTTTTAATAAAATGGACATCCTGCATTTGCATGTGCTAAATATGGCAATCCTGTCCTTTAACTGTAGGAATG